TTCTGGACAGTTAAGTCTCTCGCTAAATCTCTCTCTCTCTCTCTCTCTCTCTCTCTCTCTCGGAGAGACATATACCTGCCTTCCTACCGGAAGACGAGGTCATTTTCTCAAACAAAATACACTTCCACGAAAGAAAGTAACGCCAATGAAGCTGGCGTTTTCTACGACAAGAGAAATATTCGTGCATCGGTCGTTATGCCGATTGAAAATAATGACGCTTATTATCTCGAATTAAATTGTGCCGCGAGAGAGAGAGAGAGAGAGAGAGAGAGAGAGAGAGAGAGAGAGAGAGAGAGAGAGAGAGTGATCGTCAATTTCGTTTAGAATTTTCGTTTGAATAAGAGAGACGCGGTTTCCTTTTGAACCGGATGTTGCAAAGTTCCGTCCGTGGTTGCTGAAAAAAATTCGTTCGGATGCCGAGTATTGTTGTATGTAACGAATTCTCAGGTGCAGAGCGCTGATCGTATTGCGCAATAGCGGCGGTGACCTTGAACTTCATTTTTTCTTTTATCTTTCTCCCACAGCGTTTCGAGATACGGAGAAGCTTCCGCAGCGGTAGTTCGTTCACGAAAACGCCGTTGCTTCGTCATCTCGTCATTTGCATTTAAATAATCCGAAATTGAGCGGACAACGTCGACTTTTTATCTATAACGTTACAAATGGTAATGTAATTATAATTTCAGCATTTTCTTAATTCTTCAACACTGAAAGCACGATAAAACGCACATTATTGTCGGTGTATTTAAAATACAAGACAAGAATTTTATGAGAGCCGTGTGTTACAATTAGTTCTTACAAATGAATAATGAACTGATAGCTTTAAAATTCATATACAATCCCACTCATATCATGTCCATAAATTTTCCGACAGTTGTCTATTCCACGTTCTTTTGTCGTCAAGCTGTCTCTTCACCGCGTTTATTTTTCTAATAACGCAAATGTTTAACAGGCTCACTGTGTGTGTGTGTCATCTTCCACGTCTCTTTTGGGTATTTTTTGAGAACCATGGATGGTTACTTTATCACTGTGTGTGATAAAATGTCACAAAAGAATGGCAGGCGCCTATAAATCTGGTGGCAAGTTTCTTATGACATTAAGAGCGAAGAAAAACGCTAATTGTGGAAAAATGACGATACAATAACAGGTAGACATGGTCGAGGAACAATGAAAGAATTGAAGAGATTTGTGAAAGAAGGCAGTCCCCACTTTTGCGCGAGATACGACTCGATCCTTCTAAAGAAACTACTATTTCGCGTTTCTTCCTTTTCTGGAAGTACAAGCAACATGCACATAGAAAGAAAACGACTCTATGTGGCAAGAACCAGTTTTTCACTTTAGATTCTTCTCTTAGATTAATCTTCAATTCGAAACTTTACGTAATCGATTTGATGTTTATCGATTATATTTATGAGTCTCCTGCAAAACGAGCGATATTGCAACGTTTACCATTTCGACCAGCGTCGAAATGTGAGCTCAGCGGTAGCAATGTTGTTTCGAGATTCAATTTTGGCAGGCAGAAAATCGGAGCACCACTGTCGAGAGAGCTAAGACGCCACAGCAGCGGTTGAGATGGAATAGAGAGGAAGAAGTAGAGAAAGACGGAGAGTGTTAGGTCATGGAAACGGCGGAGAGAAGAAAGAGAGGGGGGAGAGAGAGAGAGAGAGAGAAAGACTGAAGAAGAAGAGGAGAGCGGCTCGCAATTGTCGTTTCCATAATGATTTATACGGCGAGCCCAACGTGCGAAGCGAAAAACCGGTCCAAAACCAATCTGGAAAGTTTGTTCGAGCGGGCTCTGTCGGTCGTTAAATGAAGCTACGTGGACGCGGCCACGCGGCTGGTAGTGGAGCTAGTGGGAACCCGGGGCCAAAGAGTCGTCGTCGTCGTTGTCGTAAAAATTGTTCTGCGACATCCTGTATACAGGTTGTCTCCTAACAATTGTTGCAAAGCTCGTGAAGACATAGAGCGGGTTAGCAGCCCTTCAGGTTACAGCGTGGCCTAGTCGATTCAGCAACTGCTGGTGACATGCATGGAGAGACGTGGGAGCCGCGAGATAAAACATGAATAACTGCGTGTTGTCTTTCCCTTCACCTCACAAAGGCAATAGTCGCTAGCTGTATTATCATGAGCGTAGCTAAAGCAATCGGTATTATCATTGCTCTTCAATTACCTCCGGGCCCCTTCGGGCCTCCTTGGTTGATACGAAAATTTACCCAGGGCTGTCAGTTTTTATATTACTTCGTCGGTGCTAATAATCTTTATTAGTGTCTCATCGGTGGTATCCGTCTTAAAAACGCCATCTGCTGATCATTAATACCGTCGTATTATATAATCGGGTAGAATTTTGATTTATCATCTGCAGATACTGCAGGCTCGCATGTACTGCGCTCGTTCTAGATGGCGCTGGTAGGGACATACTTGAAGCAGCGTGAGAAGGGGATATGTGTTTACGATTTCGTCTGCGTCTTTTGTACTTTCCGTTTGCAAACAGTGTTCATATTGACCATCTCAAGTGAATCCAAAATTCTACTCGAACAACGTTTGCCCAATAAAAAGATCTGCAAGCCTAATTGAGAAATTAGGACCTTGGAGAATTCTTTTTCTTTTTTTCTTGGTGGAATCTTCAAGAGATGATTACTGGTACGTTGTAAATTAATACGTTTTCCGATTTTCATAAGCAATACCATCCTTCCACTTTCGAGTGAAACAGGTTTTTGAATTATGATGTAGTTCTGTTTCATCTCGAAAGTCCGGTCTCACGGAATTTCGTCTCCATAATTGTCCGGACAACTCGCGATATCGTGTCGATGCTGCGCGAAATGTTCTTCCACGAGAAACGAGTATTTCGGAATGACTCGTTTTGTAAAACAACCGATGCGTTTATTGCAGAGAATTGCAGAGAAGAGACGCCTCAACGCCGCGGCGGCTGCCTTTCTTTTCCAGACTCTCGTCCGTCTCCACGAGACGAACGAGGCTTGCAGCGGGCGTGTGTATATAAACTGGCGCGCGTCGTTGCCTTCGTATCGCGGCAAACTGGTATTTTGCCAACCAGTAATCGTACAAAACGATGCTCCAATAATTCAATGCTATTCGAGCTAACGGAATGCCGGGATATCCGCGCGCGCGTGCACGCCTGTTACCGTATGTCTCTAGTCGCGTCTGTAGTATCGCGTTTAATTAACAGCATCGTAAACATACCGCCGATTTTAATCAACACTTGTGCGCCAATTCACTCACCTTGCTGCGTTGAAAATTTTGTATGCCGCCATTTAGACATTCGGCAATTCCTTCATTTGTTCGATACGTTCGAAGTTTAATTAACCAGAATTTAAAATTAATTGCAGGTATTTTCTCTAACGCGAACCACTTACACTGGATATTTCTGTTCTCATTCGGAAATCAAGGTTGCAAGACGCGGAAGACAGAACGTGATGACAAATGGAAACGCGTCCTTGTCTAAATCGCGACGGTATCAATTATCCCAGAGTTAATTAAATTGTTATCTCATCTACTCGATCGGTTCAATCCATCTCCCTGATTTATCATCGTCTGTCTCAATTCGAAATCTCTCTTTACTTTGCAGAGACGAGAGGATAGTGCGGTTCCTACAGAAGAACGCAGAAATAGAAACGCGATGCATCCGTCGAGCGGATTTGTTGGCACGATTCGATCTCGACCTCTCGATCCTGAGCTTGAGCTCTCTCAAACGCGTGCGGTCCGATTCGATATTCAGAAGCGCACACACACACGCCGATCATCGTCGGCGGAGCATCGCGGCGCCTTCAAAAGTGAGGAAATTCAGTGAAAGAAGAGTCTGTCCAGTGACAGTGCTTTCGAGGTCAGTAGACCGCGCACTCACGCGCGCTCAGCGAGTAAACCTTAAATCGCGTTTACGACCGTCCCAGCATCTTTTTTCCGGAGCGCGCGCGCGCGCGGTGGGAACGCGCATGTGTACTCGCGATCAGCGGCGTAGCGTGGCTGTCTTCTCGCTGAGAAGAAGAAGAAGAAGGAGAAGAAGAAGAAGAAGCACGTCTCTCTCTGGCTGTGTGCTTTGGCTTCCTCTTGCTTCATCCGTCGATCCGAGGATCTATGCCTCGCGCGACGAGCGCGACGAGCTTCGCGAGGAAACTTCTCGGACGAGGAAAAGACTTTCTCGTCGGTATTCCTCCCTCCTTGGGAGCGAAATCCGAGAGGGATGCTCCTTCGTGCGGTATGCTTACGGATGCGAAATCAGTATGCGAGGATGGCGACCAGTGGTCCCGTGCGCACTGGCGCGGACTTCTCTCCGGTTTCCAGGAGTAGGAGTCGTCTAGGCTACGTCACTGGCGGGGTCCTCGTGACACAGATCGGCGATGGTAACTATAACGGTATCCGTCGGCGTGACCTACTCTCTCGGTGAAGTCGCGCTCTCTCGGTCTTCCTCCTTTTCGTTTCTCTCTCCGTGTGTCTTTCCCCGACTCTCCTTTCTCGTCCAGGGCCGAATATCGAGCAGGTTCGTCGCACAGGGCACAGGATGATGACGTGCGGCTCGGTACGTCGAGCGCGCACGTGTTCCTCGCTCGACGAAACGATGACACGAGAATTGATTATCCCCAAAGTTATAGTCGAAAAGGGCAACCACGACACCGCGAGAGGACGACGGACGACGATAACTGCTGTACGAAGTAATTACAATTGTCCGAAATGTAATCGTTGATAATGTTTTTCGCAGCGATCGCATCTCAGCAAGATCCGATTTTTTTCAGGCGTCAACGCTTCGGCGCTGAGCGTCTCTTCTCGCCGTGCGGAAGTTTCGAGTTGAGGACGGGGGCGAGGTGAGACTGCCGGCACGCCACTGCGTGCGTGCGTGCGTGCGTGCGTGCGTGCGTATAGCATCTTCTCCCGTAGAGCGGGCTACACTTTTTCCACGTGAAGCACATCGTTCACGGGGTCGTCGCATGGGCGGGCGGGCGGTTGAACGAGCGAGCGAGTCAGCGGCTGATTACGGGCAGTAATGAAAGCGGCCCGCTTGCACACGGTAGGCAAGTGGAGACAGGTACGCAAGGTGCGCGCTGTCATGTAGCCGCGCGCCGCCAGTCATCTCCGTCGTCGTCGTAGTCCACAGTCTCACCTCTCCTTCGGTCTCTCTTATCCGGGCGCGTCTTATACGGAAGCGACCGTGCGTGGTCAATGAAAGCAGCAGCAGCAGCAGCAGCAGCAGCCGCTGTCGCTACCACTGTTGTTGCTGTTGTTTGCTCGTACCTCGGCCAGTAGCCAGTAGCCAGAGTGTGTGACACCGCCTTAGAGTGAGCGGTGCGCGGGAGTGGCTCGCGGGATTCACCAAGTCGTCGACTGGCACGACGGGTCTGCCGGCTCGGACCGTAGCGAGTTCAAATCCGCGAGTTATGAAAGCGATCGCGTTTTTCCTTCTTCAGGTGAGCGGTCAGCACGAAGTGAAGTGAAGTCTCTCTCTCTCTCTCTCTCTCGGCGACGAGAATTTTGGACATTCCCGAATGTCCCGAATGGACCTTGTCTTATCATCCCTCTGTGACAGACAAGGGGGTTATTCCCGATTATTCGTGTTTCGTTGCAGGTGAGCGCACTGCAGCTGCCGAGATGTCGAGGCGGTGGGCCGAGCACATTCGGGTACGACGCGTCCTCGGCGTGCAGCAAGCCGTATTCGCGCGTGGGACGCGCGCACCACGAGGATCTGCCTTGCGACTTTCGCCGGCAGAACTGGTGCACGATCCCCGGTAGCGCTTATCCTTGGTACTTTGTCCATTTGCGCTGCTTCGTCTTCCGCTCCCCCCCCCCCGTAATTGTGATAATTCCTTGAACTTTCGCCCGCGCGACATTCGTATGCCGCGACCGCGCACGCGCGGCTCTGTGGCGAAAGTCAAACGCGGCGTGTCTCGTTTGACTGAGAGATGAAAAAGTAGACGAGTCAAAGCGGATCGAAAGGAGATCTCGTTCGTCTAAATGAAATCGGATATCCGCCGATATTTCATATCGGCGATTAGTGCGCTTGCACTTTGGATCTGTCGCTTGCGATACTGCAGCTCATTCGGGGAAATTTATAATGTGTGGTAGAGTGAGGAAGAGGAGTCTGATGGTGAAGACTGAATCGCACGAAATTAATTTTCATCGATCCTCTTTCATTCGTTGACGTCGTTGTCACGCTCACGCTGAAATAAGGAGTATCGGTTCAGCCTTCGGCCGAAACTCTTGAGTCCAAAGATTCCTCGTCGTCCTCTCGTTCACTTGGCCAGTACAGAATTACGTTCCGATACCTGTTCGCAGGCACGCGGTGCGTCGTTTCGTGCAGGAGAATCAGGGATTGATGCGACGCATGTACGGTGACGAGAGTTACATCAGCGTCCTCAGAGCGGAATTCGACAAGAATGATATCGAGCTGAAATACGACGACTATCATCATTTTGCTGACGAGTTAAGGTAAGGCTTGGCTCTGTTCTCGCTCCCTTTCTCTCGCCTTCTCTCTCAAATAGGTGGCGTTTCTTTCCATCCAACTCACCTACTTTTACTTATACTTTTCCTGGACTGCTACGGACTGCTCGGTCTCTCTTGCCTTTCTCGTTTGCAAAATCAATCGGTAATCGCCACGTGCCACCAATTTTCAGGCAATTTCAATATGAGGACGACGATTACGACGAGTTTGTGGACGACGAGCGGCAGGCGTTGCCAAAGGACAACGCGGACGAGTATGAGGGTCGCGGATTCACAAGTCGTTCCTTCAACGATCCCATCGCCAAGCGGCTGAACAAGTTTCCGAAACTCAGCGAGTACACCAGGCCGCACTTCAAGCCGACCGAGCGGATCACCACCAGCTCCATCGCCAGCAGCACTACTACTACTACGACCGCCTCGACGTCGACCAGCGCCACGACCTTTCGTACACGCGTGTCGTCCTCGACGACACCTGCCGCATCTTCCAGCACGGAAGAAACATTATTCGACATTCAAGCGCCAGTGACCAAGTCAACCAAGTCTCCAAACCAAGTCACCACTGAAGCAGCCGACGAAGATCTCGCGGCAACAAATAGCACGACGACGACGGCGACGTTATCGCCGAGCGTCACCGTAGCTCAGATTATGAGAGAGCAGAATTTCAGTATCAACGAGATCCCCGGACAAAACGACCGGATCGACGAGAACGTGGAGGAGGAGACCGTGGAAGTGGTGGTGCACTCGGAGAACTCGGACGCGGTGATAGAAGAGGACACGACTTTGGAATCGGCTGACACGACCAGCGTGTCGTCGGAACTACCATTGGTCGAGCAGGAGGGTGAAGAAGAGAAGGAGAAAGTACTCGGTGCGGCCACAAAGACGACCGTACACGAGACTGTCGTCGCCGCTCCGAGTAACCACGAGCAATTCAGACCGCGTCCCGAGTATCGGCCGTTGGGCGTAGCCGAGACGTCGAGTATGAGCGGACAGCTCTATCAGGACGCGGCGAAGGAGCAGCCGGAGCAGCAAGTGATGAAGCTCCGAGGAGTGTGAGTACAGCGATCGAGCGCGCTTCGAGAGTAGTTGGAAGGCAAATCGAGAGAGAGATATGATACACCGTATGTTGTCGTTCGCGTAGAAATCATTGCCGGCAAACACGCTGCTTCTGGTTCTGTTTCTTTCTTTCTTTTTTTTTATTTTCTCCCCTTTCCCCTTTTGTCATGTGAAGACTCGCTCTTTCAAATATCATCACGTCCTAGCAAGTCCATGAAACTCATTGAATCGCTCATTAGCAGGAACGCTTGCCCCGTCAAAGAGGAAGTAGTTGCACCATTCTGGGCGAACAGCACTCGCGGCGAGGTCCTGGCCCTGCTGAACCTCTATCCGTTCGAGCAGTATGTTCACTGGGAGAAGTGCACGTGAGTGTTTCTCGCTTGGCCGCTTAGCCGTGAGCCCGTCTGGGGTGTTCACCCTCAGGATCTCTCTTGTAAACTGATCGTTATCACAAGATCACACGCTCCGATCTTGTCGCAGGCACGAGAACAAACAGATGTACTGCCGCGACGGCTGCAAGTGCGAGCAGCAGTACAGGCTGCACCGGTTGCTGGCTTATGACCCCAACAACGAGTGCCGCGGTATCTTCAGCGACTGGTTCAAGTTCCCCAGCTGCTGCGTGTGCCGTTGCTACGATCTGCCGCTTGAGTTTCGAGTAACATCGCGCTCGCCGCGCACTCACAAACGGCGGATCAAGGTGCAAGTACCGCGGGACCGTTATGCATGATCGAATTGTCCTGGCCGATCGCCAAAAGTGCCAGGTCGCGTAAATGCAGAGGACAAGCCGTTGAGAATAAGATCGTCGTTCATACATTCGATTTGCGTGCCCTGAAATCCTAAAGTAAAGAGGGAACGCGGTACGATATGATCGATGTCCAATGACGGTTGAAATGTATTCTGAAATATCTAAAATGTCGGAGGTTAAGTTGTAAGCACACACACACGCACACGCACACACACACACACACATGTACACACACACGGTATCTAGTATGGAGAAAGAAATGCGGAAACTGATTACGATACGTTTCGAGATTTTACGACGTGTGTGTGTGTATGTGTGTGTGCCGTTTAATCCAGCTGTGTACGCGTCATCGGCTCTCTTGGTCTGTTCTTTGTAGCTGCACTGCTGAACTGGTGCAATAAGTTAGAATGAGAGAACCTATATTTGTCTCACTTTAACTTATTGCACCAGTTCAATAGTGCAGCTACAAAGAACAGACCATCTGTTACACCTCTCTTCTCCCATGCAACATATACCGCTGTAACGAGTGTTATGCAATTACGATTATTTATTATGACGAAAGAGAAGAAAAATATATTTATACATATATATACTCGAGATATAATTCTATTGCAAGCAGATAAGGCTCGTGAATAAAGTACGCCATTCTTTTTTTCTTTTTTTTTTTGCTATATTACTATACTCTTCTCGTGTTGCTCGCGTTCATTACCTGCATCTCGCTTGTATTGCACCGTCCGATTGACAGTTGGAAATCGTAGATAGAGACTTGACGGAACATGTGTCTTGTCGGGATCGCCGAAAACAACGCGCACATTTCGTTACAATCGACTCTTTATTTTTCTTGCTTTCCTTTACATATCCGATATAACGTTGTCGCGCGTCTTATAAAGAAGAAGACTCACAAACAATAACGATCCCTCAAACGTCAATATTTCTTTATAATTCTTCTTTTTTTTTCTCAATTTTTGTTGTCTTATTTCGTTTCGGACATTCGCGCGCATGTGTCGCTGAATGTATAACTCAACTCAATAATACCTTGATTATCTTGTCGTACACTCATTAATGTGGTATTACAAACGTCATTAATTGTTCGCATCTCGTCGTAATATGTATGTGTGTGTACACACACACACACACACACACACACATACACACACACATTATATACACGTACACGTGTATGTACATATTTTATATATAGCGCGTGTACAGAATGTATCGGACCCGAATCTCGATGCGTGACACTCTACGTACGTTTACGCACATCCTAGAAAATATACGCGTCTTCTTTTCTTTTCACTTTATTTACGTATAATATCGCGCATAATATTTTATATATAACGATATACTGCGTAGTGACATAAGTGTTTCTTTATAAATACGAGCTAAAACATTTGGTATCAAAACCATTGCTGATAGAGAAGAAAATAAAACGTCTTTTCGAAAAAGTATATCACCTCGTAATACCTCTCTCACTCTCGTCAGCGCCCTTCTCTCGTTACTCTCTTAACCGTGTCGGAGTCAACCTCGATGATTTCCGGATTGATTTGTCTTCTTGCGTTGTTTTGTCCCATACGTACAACAAGACAATTATCCGATCGAATTCCTCGGCTGCGAATTTACGCGAAAAGTCAGCCGACTCTGCACTTTCGCACGGGCAATAATAGGATGATGTGTGGAAATAGCACCGAGTAACAAGATATTGCACGATCGTTACAGATTGACAATGAATAATTCTTCTTTACACATACGATAAGAAACATTATAAAATTCATAACAGTTCATTGAGCTTTGTTGATTCTTGTAAACGGGGAGGACAATTGTTTCCCTTTCTCGTTTTCTTTTCTTTTCCTTTTAAGTATATAGCAAAGACCGAAGAACAGGAAGACGCGATTCCACTTTTGTGAAAAAAGCACAATGCGCTGTCGTGCCTTCTTGAGCGAAAGACGTTTCATTTTCAGAGTACGAAAGAGCTCGCTTTCGGGATGAGAATCGCGCGCTCGTGTCCGAGAGAAACGCGTGCGATTCGCGCCGTCCGCACCGACGCGCGAAATATAGTTTACCTTCGACCAGATTGTCTAATCTAAATTTACTTCTGTCCTGTGAGTTACAATGCCGCCATCGGCTAATATACCAATTCGTATAAAAAATATCTCTATTTCTTGGCACAATCACAAATCTCCGTTCGCACCGTTCGTATGAATAAACATCGTGTGACGCGCGCGCGCGCGCGCGTATGTGTGTGTACGTGTGTTGGTACATCATGTGTACATGTGTATCGATTATGTGCTCCTTTTGTCAACGAATTCTAAATTGGCCATGTAATGTCGCTGAGCTGCCAATTTTATCCGACAATTCCTCGCTTTGCGGAGTCTCGCAGTCGTCTCATTTCTGAAAAAGGGATACTCTCTGCGATTTTTTCCCAAAGTCCCCAAAAAACGCGTCAATCGAAGCATCTACCCGAAAATTCACTGTGCTCGATACAATAACGTGTGGTTGTGTGTTAATTTCGATACATCGTCAGTCTAAGAATTCGTCGAGCGAATGACGAAAACACGATTGTCTCAAAAGTCGACAAAGTGCTTCAGCTGTATTTTGCATTTACACGACGCTAATTATAACGCGAGTGTCGTAGAAATGCGCAGATAATTCAGGCGCGTATGCTCGAGTAGTTCGACTTGAACGATAGATTATTATTATTATTACTGTAACAAAGAACACGGACACACAGTGATTATTTCAAGACCGACGACATATGGTGCCTATGGTTTATTCGGAAAAGTGCCTGAATTTTCTAAACTTATGTACTAGTCGCGGAGTGTCTTGCACGTGAAAATCGCGCGGATATCGGACTGCGTGATAAACTGTATATAATTCGCGATACAAAGTCTCGTAATTGCGGATAGATCGTGCCGACGAGCGCGCGTTTGCGGTGTAAAACACGCGACATCGATCATATCGAGTAGTAACAATTCGTAAATATCAGCGGGAAGGATGAGCTCGTCGAGAGAGAGAGAGAGAGAGAGAGAGAGAGAGCTCGACGTAGTGTGAGCAGTCCGCCGGGATTTTTTTCTTTTTCTTTTTTTTTTAATCAACAGGATCTAGACTAACGGTAGAAAAGTCGGTAAAGTGATGGTCTCGGGTTATCTTGGGAGGCTATCCTCGGGGCGGCAGCGGCGAGTATTACATATTCTTACTTTTACTTCTCGAGCCGATTGGCGTTTCACGAATTACCGATCGGCGTTATTAATCGCCAATATTACGCGAATCTATATGATACGCGACGCTTCAGTGCTATGTAGCGCGAACCGTTTCTCCCCCGTTATATCGAGTTAATTGGGGTGGAATATTTCTGGAAAAAAAAAAAAAAAAAAAAAAAAAAAAAAAAAAAAACTGCACACTGGAGCTAATCGAGCGTTCTTCTTTCCTCCCGCACTCGCGATAACATTCGCTCGTGATTAAAACGAACGTGCGTGCGCATATATAAATACGTTAAAGGAACTCTTTCTTGTTTTCTCTTTACGTAAATGTCTGAGGATTGATCTAAAGTAGTAAGTGTAAACGTAGATCACCTCCGAGGCTAACATAAAAGGGCTCAGGCTCTTATGTCGCATCGGCCGAAATCGCTTCTCTCAGGGTGTCCATCCTGGGAACATTTTTCGGATCGACAAACGTTTTGAAAATTATTATCGCAAGAATTTCGATTAACAATTGGAAGTAGATTCGACGATTGTTCTTCCGAAATTTTCGTAAAGCTATTGGCGAATATTTTTCTTTCTTTTTGAAAATTATGTAAGAGATTCTTGACTCTTCATTCTACGAGTAAAAACACGCAATGTTTGTATCGTGACAGAGAAAAGAGACACCGTGAGGAAGAGACACATACAGAGTGACCCATGTTTACACCATATTCGCACACAGTTCCCTCAGGGATTTTCACTTCACGAGCTCGCTCGCTTCGCACGTGACTAACAAAAGGCATTTCTATTTCACTTCTCGTTACTTTCGCCTGCAAAAGTTATTTATATATATATATATATTTCCGATACACGGCTCCCGATTTACTTTATAGTTATAAGGTTGATTGTAACATTCAAGGATTGAACTATAAACTGACCGTGAAAAACGAACACACCCTGCGTATCCGATTAATCGAGTTGGCGACCGCGCGTGAAACTTTGTATGTGAACAGGGGAACGGTTCCGTAAGGGACCCTATCGAGCATACTTAATACGTGCCAACCTTCGGATTATGCATTGATTAATATCACACTTTAAACTATGTGCGAACAACTATTTTCACTTAGCATTAAAAGAGTCCCGTGCCAGGACCGCCGACGAAACGATACGCACCGCTCTCGTATCAAAACCGCGAGATATCTTCTTCTCCCCGTTCTTCTTCTGATTTTCAATACTGATAACAAGTTAATACTGTTAGAGCGCGGATACTCGTGCGTACCGCCTGAGACCAAATGTCCACAATCGACACACAACTCGGTATCGTTTGTCCAATTTCAAAGAGCCGCGGCGTGTGAAATTGCCAATCATTGCGACACAATTTCCCGTGGAAAACGCGTTTACATGCGACTCAACACCGATAGACAGATAGACAGACAGATAGAGATAGAGAGAGAGAGAGAGACAGACAGAGAGAGAGAGAGACGAAGAGAGAGAGAGAGAGAGAGAGAGAGAGAGAGAGAGAGAGAGAGAGAGAGAGAGAGAGAGAGAGAGAGAGAGAGAGAGAGAGAGAGAGAGAGAGACGGAGAAAAGAGAAAGCCACACGTATCATTTCGCCTACGTACGGCGCGGCGGCACGTGTAGTATATAGATACAAAGTCGATACGAATCGAGAGGACAGACGAGTAGATAGATAAACGATAGAGAGTATGGTGGAGAGACAGAGACGCTAGAAAATACGGCGACACAGACGACGCTGTGATTACTTATCAGGGTACAGCGACAGTTGTCCCGTGCGCTCGCAAACAACTCATTCTCAACGTTCGACCGCGTCGCATGCGATTTCTTCTCTTGTGGCTGCGTTTCTTCGAATATCAGAAAGTTCAATCACGTTTACGAGCGCGAAACGCGCACGGGAGAACCAGCAGCTGATCGTATATTGTCGGACGATTATAGTGCGCTCGAGGATATAATATACTCGTCGTATAGAAAACAGCGTAGAATACGTCGACTAGGATATAATCGCATGACGTGTGCGTCGCTTTTAACTCGTACAGGAGTATGTCCGGCTTTGCGAGGTGATCTCACGACGGTAAAGCGACAGACTCGGTAAATTTTCATCGCAAAACGCAAATCACTCAAGCCTCGAGAGACTGAAGAACACGTTAACAAGATTGGGGACATATACAATGTTGAATATTCTGACATCTTCGCCTCGCGATAAAAAGTACAAAAGTTGGCGCACGACACAGCCCTGTACGACAGAGAGAAGTCACACGAATGCATTTTTGTATCGTTTTGTCGAAGAAAGTGCTTCGAAAAGTATGAATACAAAGATTAGAGACGGATCTCGTCCATGTTTGTTCAATGGATAAATTTCTAATTATTGCAGCTCCATGACGTATTCGAGGAGCCGAGTCGTCCTCGCGCAAAAATCGCTGATACGGCATTTTTTCTCCTATTAGTTATGGTGGCGTGTATACATGCAGTTATAATTGGAGTTGTTTTCTCTTTCTCCTCTAAATCACGTGCTTATGATGAAAAATATCGAGAGAGTGCGTTATTATATATTTGTATGTAACATACATATCTAAGTGTATATATAAGTATTGCCCAAAATATGTATTTTTATATCGCATATATATATATATATACACATGTGTGTATACATACATACATACATATATATATATATATATATATATATATATGTATGTATACATACATATACATATGTAAAAGGATTGTTGAGTTGATATGTCATCGAAAGAATAACATTATGTATATCACAGTGCTGTGATTGAGAAGAGAGAAAGAGAGAGATAGAGAGAAAGAGAGAGATTAATTTACAATACAGCTTTAAAATTTTCTTCCGTTTTCTCGTCTCCAAGTTTTTCGCTTGCGCGCGTTCGGTCTTATCGCGAGAGTGTCATCGGTTCTCCGAGGAAGAACCGAGTTTATATATTCGCTGTGATCTCGACGCGAATCCTCAAACGATCCAACATCGTTACAGAAAAGTTTCGGTACCGAAGGAAAACAATGTTCGATATTCAGTCGACGAAGGAGTATTGTAATTGTACTCGCGATACGTCTTAAATACATCATCTCGCAGACTCGTAGAGGAAAAATGACAAGAGGTGTTCCCTTCGGGAAGAATATATTATCGAAAATCTAATAATCGGTGAGCTTTTTTCTTCTCTCTTCTGAAGATTCACATCTCTGAGTTCTCCGTTTTCTTTGAAGGTTCTTGTGTCCATCACACCCTACAGTACAAATTGTAACTCTGTGTTTCGTTTGTTCTTTCTTGTATTTCTTTCTATTCTGTTGTTACGAAGATACCACCAACCCAATCGATGCTTGGTCCCTCTATACATATTTAAATAGGAGCGTGTTCCGTCGGGAAACGTACAGAGCGATTTCCCCGAGTTTGAGATATATATCAAAAAGTATATCTATCGCTTTTTTCTGTATTAAATGCGCCAACGCTATAACCGGCACCGGTATAAATTTAATCACAATCCCTAGATTGAATTAACATTAATGTTAATTTCTTCTTTAGTTTTTTGGTCTCGCTTCTCTAACTTACGTCTAGATATTGTCTCGTTAGAAAAAAAAAAAAAAAAAAAAAACTTCGCGATGAATCGACAGGCTCGCTTGCTCGGCGCGCGCGCTCTTCTCTTTTCACTTATTGTAAATTATATTATTCCCTCGTGACAGATATCTCTTTAAATTCGCATAGATTATCCAACATAAAGGAAGAAAAAGAGAAAAGAAAAAGGAAGGAAAAAAAGTCGAATTGAGTATTGTTAATCGCAGCGCGGCACAGCGATTTACAACAATGATCTCAACGTTATTGCTAACGCAAACCTGCAAATCGTTGCGTCATCATGCGCGATTTCAAGCAAGAAAAATAAAGTATTCCGTAACAGAAATTTTTACATCGCTGATGTATCCCGTATATTACTCTTGATATCCTTATTCGTCCGATTAATAAGAAGGGAAAGAAAAAGACTCGCATCTACATCCAGATTATGTAGAAATCACCGGTTCAGGTACAGATATACGGTTAACTTATACGTCATTAAAGAATCCGTAAATTAATATTACATTGGTTCACAAAATATCCCCTAAATCATTCGTCTCATTGTCGCGATATTCTGTGTGTATGTATGTAGAAAAAAACTTATATACACAAATATTACCATAAGAACGTAAACGGATGCTCACGAATACGCTCGTGGATCTTTTCGAGTCCACGATATATTTTTTATTCCTCCTGTTATCTTTCACGTGTGTGTAAGTGTGATGCGCGCGCGTGCACGCGCGCGCGCACACACGCACACACACGCGCGCGCACACACACACACACACACACACGCACGCACGCACGCACGCACATACATGCATATATATGTATGCTTGTTTAAGAACAGCGCGTGTCGTAAAATTGAAAGCTCCGATCCCTCAGATGTAGGAAAGACGCAATCGGACTACCAAGCCACGATTGCACAGACATTATGTGTGTATTGTGTATTAATTTCGATTTCGCTCGACCACTACATATATTTACAATTCGGTCAACAGGAACAGGAGTATGTCGCGCGTGTCAATTCCACCGTTTTTCCTATGAATGTCGTGGAAAAGAAACTTCCTTCTTTTCTCAATTCCTTAATTTACCGCGATTTACGCGCGTGTATGTGCGTTATTAACCCCTCAGACATGTTTAAATACACAATAAAGTTATGTGCGCGCGATATAAAGTGCTCCTCTTTTTTCTAATACAACTTATTACAATTAAAAAAATAGCACAAAGCAATGTACAACTTAGATCTAAAACTCTGCGCAGTACAAACTAAGAGAATTAGTGGACATATATGTTTCGTAAACTTGCGTAAATAAATTATATACACATAAGTAACTCTCTTTTTAATATACACATATTTTGTGTATACCTTATGTAGTGTGTATTTCTCCCTCCCTTCTTCTTCCTCTTTTTCTCTATCTCGCTCTTTCTCTGTACAATTTCACTACTTATATAAAATAATCAATTTCTCGGTTCTTGCCGTCGAAACTTGACTCTGTACAGCGGTCTGAGGAGTTAATCGCCGCAATGGCCATCGAAATGGCCGTAACGTGCTTATCCTCTAATTAAAGTATACTTTACGATTCGCCAATATTAAATCCACCAATCTTATTTTTCTCTTATTTTTTTTTTTTTCGAACGGGCCGTAATACGACGGATGTGTTTTCGCACGATCTGGCATGCTGATCTTCTTGTGGTCTCGTACGGATCATTAGTTTTCGCGATTCTTATAGCTGCATTTTCCGTTGCATTGCTTGATTTATACGCAATCAAAGATCGAAGCGAATCACTGACTATCGAGCGCGTATCGTTTATTCAACAATTTATTTTTAGCCAACGTGTCAACGAGTACTCGGATAAAGAAAACAAGAAAAACGCAAGAAACAAAAATTCGTAAGTCACTCAACACTTGATTGAACGAGTAAAATGCAAAATAAAATAAAAACTTTCTCGAGAAAATCGACTTTAAGAAATTGCATCGAGAGAAATAATATATCGATCTCGCGTACACATGTTTACATGATTTCTATTATAAATTTAGCACAATCACAGATGTGAGCTTTACACACATACACGCGTGCGCGCGCATACATGCGCACGCACACACACACACACACACACACACACGCACACATGCAAGAATTCTGATAGCTAAAAAAGGATAGACGAAAAATAAAAGTGCAGCTTTCGTTCAACGGCGACCGAGAGAAACGCGATGGCAACCAAATTATTTACCTGTTTTGCACTGCGAGATTTTAACGAGCTAAATGCGCTAAAGTGAGATGGATTACCGTTGCGAGAATCGTTATCACAACCAAACTGAGTGAACAGCACGATCGGTAGCGGCAATTCGTCGAGCGAAGGATCCGCAGGCAGCGTCACATCCTCCTTCGAAAGATCAAGAGACCATAAATAACAACGTGAGAACCGACTGCAATTTTGCGCATACGCACGACGTAAGGGCCCCCTGGTGGAATTAGATTGACTTCCACTGCGGCTTGTGGGGGCCCCCCCTTTTGTGTCAGGGACCCCCTCTAGGCACCCACAGAGCTTTGCTCTGCTCATCGTCTACAGAGGCTTTCACCTGCGTGCATATGTACGCCACACTCACGCCCGCCGGGATCACAGCTGAAATTATTGTTGTAACACGTGAGTGAGCTGAAACGTGCCGAATTCGAAGAGGCGATAAAAAGACAGTATCTATTTCATAGATCGATCCGTCTACTAATTCGCCAATATTTTAATATTGGCACTGACTTTACAGAAAATCAATTTATTTGATTGTAATTTATCACTCACAACAAGCTCAAGTCGATATTTGAAAAATCAAGTATCAGAAGTGTGTTTGTCACGCGGAAATTTACGCGCTACATCAAACAGTAGCAATACTATTTTCTTACCGGAAATGTAATGCTTGTACTCCGCTTCCATCTTGAGCGCCTGCTCGTACATCTCTTTCGCCGCCTTTGTACTGATTTTGTCGCTCGGGTATCGCGAATCCTTCACCTCCTTGATTTGCGCTCTATCCTTGAACTTGATTAACAGGACGATAGGGTAAATTTGGTGTCTGTGCAGCCTGTCGATGGAAGCGATTGACACGTCCAAGATGCAGTGCGTATTCTGCAAAATGGGTATGACAGAAGAATAATATAAATATAAAAATGTACGTAGATTCGTGTAGACGTAAACGAACACGACAACGAACAATGATATTGATTATCATTTTTGCATCATTTATCCTACTCGTATTATATTGTAACAAAAAATATATTTTTTCCACATGTGTGTGTGTGTGTGTATGATCTTACTTTTTCACATATATCTTTGACTGCCTGCACCGTTGTACACTCAAAATAGCTGCCCTTCTTCCTATAATCCACGTAGAGCGAGTCACGTAGACCTTGCTCCAAGGTCGCTTGTGAACAGTGCATTGCTTCCGCCAGGCATCTGGTGAATTGACTCGAATATTCCTGCAGGAGTTTTGTCACCACGCATTCGCTCAGCGGCCCGAGAATCAGCACAGGTCTCAGGGTAGGATCTGCGGGAACAAAACCGAGTCAGCCAAAAGTCAGGAATACATTCAAGACACGATTCGTAAGTAAATTGTAATAACCGCGATTACGCGGTTTTTACGATCAAGTTTTACGGTCAATTTAATACGTACAGTCGAGCCTCTCGACTCGCTGATAACTCGCAGGTAGAGTGTCCTCGTTCAGTGTCCCGCTATCGCTGTACCATCCCAAATTGACTCCCGTAAGATGCGACAGTTCCTTGCTGTCTCTGCTGCTGGACGATCGTTGCTGCTGCTTCTTCCGGCGGAAGAAACTTCTCCTCGCGCTGGTGTTGCTACGCTTGCCAGCATCTTGCTCCAAATCGCCCAAGGACCGCCGTAGAAGTAGCTCCTCCTCAACTCTGCGCATAGATCACGCCCCGTTCAAGTCGCACTAATTGTCACAAACGTTTATCCGTCGTGCCCTACTTTGTTTCAAAATACACCACACGCTATCGATCGTGAGCTATTAATGTGTCGGATCAGGTCATAAATAACTTGCGACGCAGATAGCGAATACCCAATTCTTTTTTTTTACACCCATATGCAGGAGGAATCGATAAGCCCTGCCTACTTGGATAAAAACAGTCATTGCGAGCGTATATCGCGGACAACATTGTTTGTCTGTTTTTGTGAGTGGTAGGCGTTACTCTCTCTCTCTCTCTCTCTCTCTCTCTCTCTCTGTGTGGCTGTACCTCGACCTGTCTTGAAATTACATTCTCTACATGTGTACTTTAGATAAAGTCTCACTATGAAATATTAAAAAAGACAAAAAATGGATCAAGAACAGAGGAGGGAATTATTCGCGACATCACACAATGCTTGTAACACAGTGTTTGTCACTTGTAACTTACTTGAATTTGCTGGGAATGATTCCGCAAGTTTGCCTACGGCCAGTCTGATCGACGATCCAAGCTCGCCAGTGGCCCGGTGTGCCATTGAACATGGTGTTGTCCACGTACAGTATGTCGTCCTTGTTGAAGCGCAGTTGCAGGCTGTCGCCCACTTCGCCGACCCGGTCGAACAACGCCTTCACGTAGAAACTATCGCCCGGTTTGTCCTTCACCTCGTTGTACCGCTCGGGCATGTACTGGGCGACCAGTGTCACCTTGTCCGCCGGTCGTGCCAGTTCGAGAGCTGCTTGCTCGGCGGTCGCTTGTCTCAGGTCCACACCGTTGTATTCCAAGATCCTGTCGCCGGCAAACAAGCCGGCCTCCTCCGCGAGACAGCCCGGTTGAACGGAATGCACGAAGATACCGACCCCGTTTCCGCCCACCAGTGAGATGCCGAGGTTCGAGCACTTCCTAGTCTCGATCAGCAGATAACGCGGCTCTCCGCTCGGCGGCGGTTTCCTGTTCTGTTCCTCCTGCGTCGGACTCCTCATCGCGTTTTGCCGTAGCATCTGCGCGCGGCTCAGTCGATCCAGCGTGGCCGCGCTGCGCAACTCCGGCTTGCGGATGTTGATGTCCAGTGACGCGGACGGCCGCATCTCGCGCTCCCGTTCCTGCGTGCTCCTCACATCCAGCGATGCGGACGGTCGCATGTCCCGCTCGACGCGCAACGAGCTCATCGTGGTGCTGGTGCTGGTGATGGTGGGCGCGGCGGCACTGGTGGTGGTAGTGATGGTAATGGTAGTGGTGGTGGTGGCGTCGCGCTCCGGCTCGACCGGCTCCAGCGTCTCGACTGCGCCCTTTCGAGGCGCCTCCGGACTGTTGCACGGAGTCGGCGAGCCGCTGTGGCTACCGGTGCCGGCTTCCCCGTCGCCGGCTTCCGACGAGCTCGACGACGCCGAGCCTTCCAGCTCGGTGTATTCTTGCAAAGAGAAAAGCGGTAAAATTACGCGTGTACCCGGAGTCACCGAGCATACGCAAGCAAAATACCTAATGTCTCTAAACGGCGTCTGAAAAGCTGAAACACGTTTTCTCTCTTTTATATTAATACGTGTCTACTCAAAAGACGACTTATATTTACTACTACACGATACATCTTTTTTTATCAACATTCAATGATAAGATCGTATGTAAAAAAGGAGGTCAGACAATAGGGTTGCACAAACGAGAGATTGAATAAGTACAAACATTTGGTTGAGAGTGATCAACGCGGTACACACAATACGCGGTGTTGATTCTGACAACGTGCAATCCTGAAGTTAAGTTTATTCAACTTCTCGACTTCATTTCAACTGATTCTTTTTTTTTGAGGGGCAATGAACAAACGGCAAATGGAGACATGTAACAGAGAGGTAGTGCCAGAAAGAGAGTGCGAGTAAAGAGCATTCGTGACGTTTGCGAGAGACATGCCAGATAGAAGATTCCGATCGAAGAAAACGGACCTTTGCCTTCGCGACTGCGAAAAGAAGAGAGAGAGAGAGAGAGAGAGAGAGAGAGAGAGAGAGAGAGAGAGAGAGAGAGAGAGAGAGGAGAGAGAGAGAGAGAGAGAGAGAGAGAGAGGAGAGAGAGAGAGAGAGAGAGAGAGAGAGAGAGAGAGAGAGAGAGAGAGAGAGAGAGAGAGAGAGAGAGAGAGAGAGAGAGAGAGAGAGAGAGAGAGAGAGAGAGAGAGAGAGAGAGAGAGAAAGAGCGCGCGTTGCCGGCGGAACGCAGAGGCATACTCACTATCCGGGCTGTATTGCACCAGCATGGTGATCGAATTACCGCATTGACGCAACACGTTGGCAGCCAACTGGTAAGTCGCGCTCCTCATATTGATGCCGCACACCTCGAGCAGCTGATCGCCGATCTGCAGGCCTACCTGCGAGGCCAGGCTATGCTCGTACACGGTGGAGACAAAGACACCACCACTCTCGAGACACGAGATCTGAATGCCCAACGGCTCCACGGACTTGTCGATGTGGACACGTCGCAGTTCACCGGGCGCCGGTCTCGGTTGCGAGTAACAGTAATCCGGCATGCTGGCGCGCTTGGTGCCGCCGCTACCTCTGACCGTGCCGCCGCTGCTGCCGCCGCCGGTGCTGCTGCCGGTACTGCTGCCTCCTCCCCCTCCGGTGCCCGGGCTGAGCACCTCCACGTGGAAGGTTGGCATGGGACTGCCTCTCTCGGAGGTACGTTCGATGCTACCGGTGGACAACTTGCCGACGCTGCTCTTGGACGTGACGCTGGTGTTGGACGGTATGCGTATACGCTGATCCTCCTTCCTGCTGCCCGGCAACGTGCCGCCCTCGTAACCATGCGAGTAGGCGGACGGCACGTCGCACGGTATGCCGAGCGGCAAGGCGCGCGTCTTGTGGTGATAGTGCAGGTCTACGGAGGGGGTGTGCATGTGGCCGGCGTATACTGTGGCGGTGGTCTGTGGCGCGGGGCTGTACGGGGGCTCGAAACAGTAAGAACGTGCGTCGGGCAGGCCGATCGACTCGCCGGACTGCGCGGATGGCAGTGACGGCGGCGAGGGGTAGCGCGAGGACAGAGAGTTGGGCTGCGGGTGATGCGAGTGATGGGGATGCGAGTGCGACGGCACGTACGAATGTGGAAACGGAAAGTTACCGGCGGCGGCTGCCGCTGCTATCTGTTGGCGCGTCGGTCCGCCGACGCCGACGCCGCCGCTGCCGGTCGCGGAAGACGCGGACGACGAGCCGCCGATGACCGAGTAGAGCTGCGAGTGCGCGCGATTGTGTTGCTGCAGCGCGGTCTCCGGCGTATGCGTCTCGCTGCCGCTACTGGCGACGGCGGCGACCGCTACCGTGTACTTCTGCGGGCGTTTGCTCGCGGCGAAGTAGTCGAGATCGGCGCGCGTGGCGCCGCCCGACTTCAACGAGAAGTCGATACTCGTCTCGGACGGCGCCAGGACGGAGCCGAGTCGCGTCTCCGCCGCCGCGCTCTCGACAAACTCCACCGAGGACGGTGGCTTCTTGTCGATCGGGATGTCCTTGAACTGCACCGCCGCCGCGGGTGTGAAGGAGCGCTGGCTGTAGAGCTGGCCGGACTTGGTGAAGCTGGGCAATGGCGTCTCCACTGCTTTGTAAACGGTATGCCGGTTACTCACATTGGAAAAACTGGTCAGGGGTGTGGGGTTGGAGATGCGATTGTAATTATGGCTATCGTATTTCGGCAGGATTACGCTCAAGGGGAATCGTTCTTTCGTCTTTCTCGGGTGTAGTATAGTACCGGTCCCATTTTGTATCAGCGGGCCGCCGCGCGCCTTCGGCCACGTGCCGCCGTTCTTCTCGTCCTTCTCAGCGCCGCGCCGCTTGCTGCGCTTCAGCACGCCGTTGTTCGCCTTCTTGTGGTAGCTGTCTATTACCGAGTCCAGCTCCGCTATCGCATCCTGCTCCTGCTCGTAAGTGTTCGGACTAGAGTTGCGGTGGCTCTTCTTCTTGTCGTCGCGCTCCTTGCTGCCGTGTTTGCGGCCTCTCACTATGTCGATCTTCTCCCGGAAGTTGTCCCAGGCGTTGCTGATGCCGCTCGACTTTTCGCCGCTCACCGACTTGGCGGCCTTGTACGCGACGTTCCGCTCGCCAAAGTTGGTCGAGAGGTAGCGCCTCTCGTAGTCGTCCGACGAGGCCTTCAGCATCATTCGCTCTTGCTCGGTCTGCGAACAGCTGTTGACCATCTTTTGCTTCTCCGCGGAGAAACCGTCGATCGTCGTCATGGTCTCTGAGCTGGCGGCGGACGGCACGGGGATACCTTTCAGCGTCGTGATTGTCAATACGTCTATCGTGGTGTCGTTCAAAATGATCATCGCTTCGTGCACCGAAGTCACAGTGTCCATCGGCTTGCTGTTGATCTGAAAATCAAGTACAAGGATGAGTGAAAGGAAAAAACAAAAAAAAAGAAGAGAGAGGAAAAAGAAAGAAAGAGAAAAACGAAAATATCGAGCATTCGAGCAACAGAGTTTCTCCTTTACGGGAGATTCTATTTCTATTCGATACAATTTTTTCTCTTGTTCTGTTTTGCGTTGAACACTCACATTCAATACTCTGTCTCCCACGGCGAGATTACCGTCCTTGGCCGCCAAGCTGCCGGGTGATATTTTCGAGATGTAGATACCGAGCTCCAGCGTGATACCGTGCGGTACGGAGCCGACCGAAAGCTGCGTGGTTCTCAGCGAGCGTCTGGTGATTCGACGGCGTCTCACGATCATGGTCGTCGGTCCAACGGTACCGGACGAGCGCAACGTCTCCATGATGATGCGCGACGACACGGACGTGCAGTCGACATTGTTTATTCGCGTGATGCAATCGTTCACTCTCAGCTTACCGTCGAAGGCGCTACCCTGCGTCACCTGGGCTACGTAGACGCCATTGTCATTCGGATAATACGGACTGTCGCGGCCGCCGACCAATATCAGCCCCAAATCGCGATCCGCGTCCAAGTGGAGCCTGCCGGGCTCCACGTGTATCGAGACCATCTCCCAGTCGCTGCCCTCGACTACGGACGCATCGTGACCGCACGTCAGACTCTGCGCCAGTTGACTGGTGCGCAGTGCGTGATCGCCCGACTCGATCTTCTCCTTCAGGTCCTTCAGCTCCTTCGACGCTTCGTTCCGCTGTTTCTTGATGTCGTCGGAGTCGCGCAGTGCACTGGCCAGCTCGGATACCGCGCGATCGCGCTCCTTCCGCAGTCTGTCGCACAAAGTCCTTATGCTCTCTCGCTCTAGCACTATCTTGTCGCGCTCGCTGAAAGCCCAATCCCGCCGCCGTTTCGACACCTCGGCCTCCTGAAGCGCCTCCTCCAACTCGGCCTGCAGCGTGTCCACGGCCTTCCTGAGTTTGTCCAGTTCCTGATTCGCCTGATCCAGATTGTCCATGCGCTCCTTATCCCGCTTGGCGTAGTCTCGGGTATTGGTCTCCCTCTCGGCGTCCTCCTTGATGACGCTGTCGCGTTCGCGACTGAACGAGTGCAGCTCTAGACGGTGCTTGTAGTCCCTGCTGGAGCCCTCCGAGTAGTCGCCAAACTTCTGCCGCAATTCATTGCACATCTGCAGGGCCTCGTCCCTGTCCTGCAAGGCGGACGAGATCTCCCTCTTCAACGTCTCGATTTGGTAAGACAACGTTTTCTTCTGCGAATAAACAGCGACGGTGTAATCGACCGCGTGATAGCGCTATCCTACACTACTGGTGTGCCTACTAGCGAAACCCCACGCGAGACATTTTTAATGACTCCTGGACGCGCGGACGCGTCAGGTCAGGTGAAACCGTCATCCGAAAGTACAAGAGTCATGGCGGATATTCTCCCGTGTGAATCATCGGTGGTGTGTGCTCTGTTTTCACAAACTTGCCACGTGCAGGAGTCATTAAGCCAGAAGTCCTTGACAATGTAACGTTCAAGATAAGAGCGATGTAGATCTAACGCGTAAGTTACGGCGCAGTTATGCGTAAGATTACACGAGAGCGATCGGAATGGAATATTATTCGGATCCGAGAGAGATAAAAATATGTCGCTTTCGCTGTAACATAAGGTCGCGGATACACAGAAATGAAGAAAGAAAAGAAAAATGTTTAATATTCAACGAGAGGAAGCGCGCGCGCGCACGCGCTCACGCGCGCCGATTACCACTCGTCATTACCTCCTCCACGAGCTGCTTGTTCTGCGATTCCAGATGCGTGATCTTTCCGTAAGCCTGCGACAGGTCGTCGGTGAGTTTCTCAATCTCTTTGTGCACGGTGTCCCGTTCGCCCATAATCAGACTGTACTCCTGCAACGCGGCGTTTCGCTCCTCCGTCAGTCGTTTCATGTCCTTGCTGGCCTTCATACGCAGCACCATCGCCTGATTGATCTCCTTGACCGCCTCCTCGTGCTGTTGCTGAATTTTGGCGAGGGCCTCGCGATACTCGTTCCTCTCCCTGAGAGCGATGTCCCATTGGCGTATCGCCGCGGTGCATTGTTGCTTGAGCGCGTTGCGTTCGCGTATCGCGCTGTTACGTTCCAGCGTCACCTGCTCGTAGTCGGTCTTGAGCCTAGTCGCCTCCTCCTTCGATAATTCTAGCTGCATTCATCGCACACACACACACGACTCTGCGTGAATGTCGCGTCCAACAGCAACGAACAACAATAACAATAACAACAACGACAATGACGACAACGACAACGACGACGATGACGATGAAAACGACGACGACGGCGGCGACGACGACGGCGACGACGACGGCGACGACGACGGCGACGACAACAACGACGGCGACGACGGCGGCGGCGACGGCGACGACGACGGCGACGGCGACGACGACGACGACGACGACGACGACGACGACGGCGACGACAACGACGACGGCGACAACGACGGCAACGACAAAACGACGATCGGTCGGCCGACGCGACGAGCGCGAATTAAAGTGAGCAAAGAGGCGCGAGACGCAGGCGAGAATAATACTACCAACTACTTGCCTTACTAACGGCAGACGAGTGAGACGCTATCAAGTCATCGTACCGTTTCCTGAGGGAATCGTACTCGTCCTTGACGGCGTCGTACTTTCGCAGCGCGGGTGGATAGTGCTGATTCATGTCGTTGCCGGCGGCGTCGGAGACGAGAACCTCTTGGTTCTGTATGCGCAGCTCCGACAACTCTTTCTGCAGCGTCTGGACTTCCCGATCCAGCCGTTGCTTGTCATTCGCCAGGTCGCCATACTTTCCCCGCAACGCGGAGCTCTCTTGCGACGCCGCTTCCAGTTGATTCATGACTGCTATGTGCTGGCCGCGATAGTATTCCAATTCCTTCATAGTATGTTCACATCTGTTTCATACACAGATCTCTTTTTACATATACTGCCATTATTACGATCGTTCCGACGTAAGCTCAAAGCGTGAAAAAACAGAGAGAGAGAGAGAGAGAGAGAGAGAGAGAGAGAGAGAGAGAGAGAGAGAGAGAGAGAGAGAGAATGTACATTGAGTGTGAAGACGCACACTAAAAAGGGTAAAATTGAACAAAAGAGAAAAAGAAAGGAAAAGAACGAAAGAAACATGAAGATTAAACAGATGCATAATAGAATGAGGCCGGAGGTAAAATAAAAGTCAAACCAAACCAACCGTCTTATGGTATCGGAGTGCTTATGCCTAAGTAGCTGGAGCTGATGCATCGCTTGATCACACTGAGCCTGTAAACTGTCATAGTCACTACGACACTCGGGACCGCCGACTGGACTTCCGACACTGCCGTAGCTTCCGCTATCCCTCTCTGGTTTTGTATGCCACACGCAAGTCAATTCCAACAACACACGTCAAAAGAGAAAGATGGGGAGGGAAAAAGTAATACTGCGTGTAACTCGGTAATATAATGTACAAGTGCGTGCATGAATAGAGATAGAGAGAAAGAGAAAGGAAGATAGAAACGAGGTAACATTGGTAGTATTATTCTCGTGAAGATGAGAGAGACGCGTTTCGCTCGATACATCGATCGGAACATCGCGATGTGTGGCAATGCGAATTGAAAATGCGACGTGGACCAAATTTTCAGAGAGGTGCGTCTAATTGCGCAAAGCGATCATTAGCGATGTACTCGATTTCATTATTCTCAAATATTATGACGAGCGACAATAACAATGATAGGAATAATGGTAATAATAAAAATGATGATGATAATTATAATGCAACTAAGAATAGCGTCAATGTAAAGAATCCATCGGGAAGAAGAAGAAGAAGAAGAAGAAGAAGAAGAAGAAGAAAAAAGGAGACGTGTACGTATGTGTCTGTTTGTGTATGTGTATTTGTGTAACTTTCATTTAAAAATAGATCTTACCCATGTTAAGTGCACCATCTGGAAAATTAATTATAAACACTTGTATTATTTGAAAGTGTATGTACTAATCGTGACGTCGAGTAAGAAGAGGAGCGCGCAACGAAAGAAGAAGCGACGATACAAAGTAAAAGTACCAAGCTATTATCCGAATAGTGCGCGTTGCATATTTCACAATAAAATCTAAAAGTCTAAAACGCCTTGTTACAGTAGATGGAACAACATAATCAAAGGTCTCGCGCGCTCTGGCTTTCACCAGGAAAGAAACTC